GCAAACTCCAAATTTCCAAGAATCATTGTATGTTGAAGATAGAGACATAATATACACTCATAATGAAATATGAGAAATCTTAGATACTTGAAAGTCGTAATTGAGATAAAGGATTTCAGGAAACTCGGGCCTGTTTTGAATTTAAACACCGAGTTGGTTGAGTACTAATTCACCCGTTGCATATATATCCAAAAGGGTTCTCAGGCAAATTTAAATGGATAAATGTAAACTGTTAGCAGTCCCATGATCGATCGAAATATAGACACTAGAAAAGATCCATTATTTAAAAGTTATTAGAAGAAGGAGTTATCTAGGTAAGGGCAATATGCGCATGATTGTACTTTGACAAACACATTCGACCGAATATTACATTTTCAAGAACGTGTTAGCTGAAAATAGCCCAGGACCAACACAACATATATCGTCATTAGAATGGTATCAAGAATGTACTTTGATATCTATATGAAACCATTGGTGTAATCTTTATTCATCCCTTATAAATTGAGTTAAATGATTGATGATTTATTTCTAAAGGAATTGAAAATGTCAAAAGTATCTCTCTAATATAAAGTAGTGTGATTTGAGTTTACTCGTGAATGCACTCTGGCCTCATTGATATCTTCTAAACTGAGTATATACTTTTCATGAAAGAAATCATGATTTTATGTACGGAATAACTTGATAAAAGTAAATATCAAGTAAATATTGGACTATTATCGATGCGTTATACTCAGGGGGAGTCTTGATATACTTATTTATCATCAATTATATATATTGTTGTGTTGTACTCTTTTTTTTTCTTTTGACCAAGTTTTATTTTTCTTATTGGGTTTTGTTACTTGGTAAAGTTTTTTGAGGCAACATAATTTGCACCATCCTACATTTTAATTTTTCGCAGTCAAAAGCAGTTGACATGTGCTTATTAGTGCATCATACTTTTTTCCCTTTGACCGATGTTTATTTTTTCTCATTGGGTTTTGTTCATTGACAAGGTTTTAGCAAGTTAATAATTTTTACTCTTATCACCTTATACTTGGCACACATGGGGAGAATTAAAGGAAATATATTCCTCTATTTGTGTGCCTTCGATATGGTAATTAACGTAAAAAGTATTGGAATGCATAGACTTTCCAAATACCCTTGATTAATGTTAATATTAAGGATAGATGTAGAAATGAGGGGGAGTCTCCTCACATACACTACGTTACACTCTTTTCCTTTAACCAAGTTTTATTTTTTCCCACCTGGTTTTGTTACTTGGTAAAGTTATTAATGAGGTAACAATACATATAAACTTTAATGATCAAAGAAAAGATCAAATAAAAGATAGACTTAATCGAAGAAGCCTATCTTGATGTTATATACTCTTTTTCTTCAGTCAAGGTTATTTTTTTCCCACAGGGTTTTTGTTACTTGACATAGTTTTGATGAGACTACAAGACTGATATCAAATTCTATCTACAACTCAGCACAAGGGGGGTGTTGAAGGAAATTCTATTTAGTGTGATATCATGTATATAGAATATGTATTAGGATCATTTTATGTAAAATATGTGATGGAGTATATGGCCCAGAGACCCCCGGCCCACAGACTCCTACTTCTCCTGCTCAGGCCCATCAAGCCCAATGAGCACACATGGCCCAGATGTAGCGGCCCGAGTATCAAGAAGCCCACAAATACATGTGTAAGTGCCTTCGGCCTCCTTGGCCGAGGGCTCCAAATTCCACAGAACAGTTTCATTTGAGCATACGAAGCTACTGGGAGGAAACGGCAGAAATCAGGAGCCTTCGGCCACAGGGGGTCTTCAGCATGAGTATTCACCTTCGGCATCAGAAGCCTTCGGCACATACAGCCTTCGGCATAATGGAGCCCCCGGTTAGAAGAGCCTTCGGCCCAGCACCCTTCAGCCGAAGGCATCCACCTCGACAGAATATCCTCTCCACATGCGCCTGGATCACCGTACCAAGTACAAACGTCACATCCAACCATCGCATTTAATGCGGCCACATGCGAGTGTCAGTGCCACCCCGGTTGAGGTGACCCCTCGACCACCAGAATGCTGACACGTGTCCCTATCTAGCATTTATTACTACTATAAATAGCTCCCCCTTTTCCCTTTGTAACACACAACTTGAATACACATTCCACATTCGAACTCCTTATCTCTCTTACTTATTTGCTCTGACTTCTCTCTAGTTACTCCCCGCAGTAACCCCTCGGATAAGCTACCCCCGGGTACACTTATCCATCAATATGTATTAGGGGTCTATTGGTCCGTCTCTGTAAACCTTAATATCTCCATATTTATAGGTCCTTTAATAATGAAACTATATGATTAGTTCTCCGTACAACAACTAGTAATACTTTTGTCATTATTTCATAAGAATATTACTTATTTTAAAATATTTTAAATTGAGAAAATGTGAATGATATTTTTAAGAAATATATGATTACATATTTATGACTAAGTAGGCGATTGTTTACTAAAATGTGATTAGTGATTATACTAGTAACTTTGTTTAATTTTTAAATTTAAGTAACCATGACACTATATTGCACTACCTTCGTCCTAAAATACTTAGCCAAATTTTAAAATTCGGACCATCCTTTGGATTAGTATAATATTATGAAAATTATAAATTTAATACTTTTATGAAAGTATTCTTAACAAAAAATATTTTCATATTATTTTTATCTAACAATATTATATTTTTGAATGCGGGTTGGTACCCTTGATGTGTCAATACATTTTATCATAAAAAATTGTACATTATACTTATAAAGTGATACCTAACTTTTGAGGTGACTTTAATAACCCTACTCCTTTAAACTTCCGTTACATCATTTTTTGAGCTCTTCCGTTACTTCATCTATGAAGAGAAGCAAGGGTTATTATATATGTTTGACATTTCATGGGTGAATTAGTTATATTAACAAGGTACTTACTTTTAATACTACATATAAGATATTCATGACATTTAGATAAGTAATGTGTGAATTTTGAATAATTTATTGTAGAGGATCATTGTAAAGCTATTTTTTCATATAATTTTATCTTTATTTTATTAATTAAATTTATATTAAATATTTTTTCATAAATTAGCATAACCAGCCAAATCAATCAGAACTTTTTAATTTTCAGCAGAACCAACCAATTCAACCAATAATTTTATTATTATCAAACGCACTCGGAATTAATTTATATGTAAAATAAAACTGCACAAACTGTTCAAAACATCTTAGGTCTTAATTACACAATGTATATTTTTTATATCATGACGCAACACATACAATTTTTTAAAAAAGGACCTATGTGTGAATTTAATACAACAACAACAACATCAAAGCCTTAATCCCAAAAGAATTTGGGGTCGGCTAACATGAATCGATCTATGATATCGATGCCAAAAAGAGAAGGCGGACAAGAAAAGGAAAAAAAAGTAAGATAAAATGAATAAAATAAAGATACGTAAATATAAGATAACAATAACACAAGAATATGACCAAGATAAAAGAAAAATAAATAAAAGAGCATAAAAAAGCTAGAAGATAAAAATAACATAAGAATATAAAAAGATAAGGAAGATAAACGATAAAAGAAACAAGAAAGGAAAGGTAGATAAGACATCAATCGTCCACATGGATGTGTGCCCTCTACTTTGCTCTCTCCAAACATAACTAGAGTATCCCCGAATCGAACTTGACTGCCTTTGTTGCATGGTTAGTTTACTTCAATCGGACCAACTTGACAGATTATGTGTGAATTTAATCCGTATATTTATTTTTCTTTATCGATCACACACGCTTACTGTTTGGATAATATAGTAATGGCCAGGGGCGGATCCGGGAATGAAGAGTGAGGTGGGCTTAGCAGGAAAAAAATTGTTATTGCAAACAAAAAGTTTAGCTTAAGCTGCTTAGGGCCGTAATCGAATTGAGATTTTTCGAACTACGCAAATTCGAGCGCGATTTCAAATTTAATTTAGCGATCTTAGATTAAGAAGCTTTTTTTAACTCGAACACGAGCTAGATTTTGAGTTCGAATAGTTGTTCAAGCTGAGTTCGAGCATAGTGATATTCGGTTTGATCCGGACTCGAGTCTGTCAATAACTCGTAAATTATAGGAATAAATTTTATTTATCTTGATATTTAAACATTTTCATTGCAATTTTTTAAATCTATTTGAACACTAAAAAATAGAGTTCATATATCTATTTTATTCAAGCCGAGTTTGAGCATAAGTTAAATTAATAATCAAATAGAATTACATAACTATAAAATAAAACTAATGCACAAAATAATAGATTAAAAGAGTATAAGAGTATGTGTGGATGGCTGGACAACTAGACTCGGCTAGAGGCAGCTAGTCGGACTCGAATAGACTAGAGGGTTAGAGCCGCAACGAGCTACATGCTGGAGTGTCGGACTCCGGAGGGACACCGACGATCGACCACAGACATAGGGGACAGGAAGGCAGGTGGCGGCGCGGCAGGGTGCCTGTGTTCATGACTTCGTGGCTTCGTTGCTTTACTGAGTTGAGTCCTTCCAGCTTTTGCTTTGTGCTTGTTAGTCGCTTTATAACAAAAGTATACTTCTACAGTTCTAAAAATCACAAATAGTAGTTCTTACCATGCTTGTTGCAAAAATTAGAACTAGATAATGAACTGGGTGATGGAAAAAGCATAATTTTAATAATAATAATAATAATAATAATAATAATAATAGAAATAGTATACGACCAAATAAGGATAGTTGATAAGGAGTAACTTACACTACAAAAAAAATTACAGGATTGACACGGAATTTGACATTGATTTACCAAATTTTCGTGCCAAATAGCTCGAGCCAAAGTGTTTTTGGCACGAATTTGCCATATCCCTGCCAAATTCCCTGCCAATCCCATGTTTTTTTTTGTAGTGTTAGTTATTTTAATGATTATAATTATGTTTAAATTTTAATGCTTATAAAAGTTACTCATGGTGACTTGGGTCAAATAATAGTAATATTCATATAATTTATGTTGTAAAATAATATTGTAAACTTGTAATATAAAGTGCTTTCATTGATGGTGTGGGTGAGTGGGTGAGATGAGATTGCATAATTGGCAACCGGCTCCAAACACCAACTACATACGATTGTTTAATATTCCGTATGTAAAGTTTTGCTCCTCAATTTATCCCACACCGGTTGCAAGAATAGTTCACCCTCCTGAGTGTCCTATATATAAATCACTTCTTGGTGCAATCACAGCAAGCTCTGTTATTACACATCGGGATCATTTGCTCCCATGACTATGGGCTTTAAACAAAGTTTGGACAGCCTTTTGCTTTTAGAGCTTCTTAGAACACTTCCTTATTGACTTGGGCTGGGCTGAGTATTAATTTTTGGGTGAGCTGAAAATTAAATCTCTTTCTATACTAACAAAAAAAATTGAGTTGGGCTGGGCTAGAGCCCACTCTAGGCCCTACATAGATCCGCCCATGGTAATGGCCAATATTAGAGCATCTTTAATGGGAGTATCAATTGCTCTAAATGCATTGCCACGTCAAACATCCGGAAAAAAAATATCTCCAACGCAAATGTACATTTTATCTATGGTGCTGACCTGTAATTCCAAACAATGGACGGTGTGTATCTCGCTTTCTAGCTATAGCAGGTCTATCTCACATGCTGACTCAGCATGGCATTTATTATACGGAATAATACTCCGCACATAATTCTTCATTAGCTCTAGCTTCTCGTTCCCTTCCGGCAACAAACCTCCCCACCACAGGAGTGCCACCAACTCGCAAGTCGCAAACCCTTGTCCTCAGTGGCATTCCTCCTTAAGGCGGCAGCAACCGGCAGCCTTTTGTTGTCTCCGGCAATCATTTCTCCGACTCTCCCAACTTCCAAAACGGAGATGGCCTTCCCTTCCATTTTCCAAAGCTCGAACACTCTCTCTGGCCTCTTTCGATGTTGTTGGATATCTTCCCTTTCATCTCCACCGCATCAGCTTTCTCTGCAAAGGATATCATTTTGGCTCCAGCCTCAATTAATTACCTTAGGAGTTGCAAACTTGCAATTGGGGGCCACCAGGACTTCTTTCTTGTAGCAGATGCCAAAAGCTCATTGAACTGGAATAAACTTCAGCAGAGGACTCCATCAGTCCATTGGAGATGAAAAATGAATTTAAGTGTCTGGGCGGCCACGTTAGCTACACAGGATGTTGACACGGATGACGTGTCCATTTTTTTGTAAGGGCAATTAACATCTCCATTGGAGATGCTCTTAAAACTAAGATTGCCATTTTCAATCGATTTGGCTGAAATTCTCCTCCTGTCTACGCCTCTACTCATATATCATAGATAATAAGGTGCCCAGCAGTACTGTTTTTGGAGTATTTATTAATTAAGTTTTTTTGTAGTTTGAATTTCATCAAACAACTATTGGCATTTTGGTTGTTTTTGGAGTAATTATTAATTAAGATTTTTTGGTTGTTTCAAAAAATCGACACTCCCCATCGGCGCAGCTAGGGCTTCTCTCGCCCTCGTCTGCGGAAGTTTCGGGGCCGGCGAGTTGCTTTTGCTCGGCGATTTGGAATAGGTGCAGCAGAGTTTTCAACTCCAAAATCGTGTCGGGCCTAAGCGACGATTGGCTGATCGACGGCCAGCTTCTCTTCTAGCTATTCGATCGATTTTTGGCTAGTTTTCTGCTTCGTTGGTGGGCTGCTTCGTCAGCCCAGGGGAGCAGTTCCGTTTGGTCAAAGTCGGAAGGGGAAGATGGAGGCCATGGAGGAACGAGGACACAGAAGATTGATGTGGATAGGGATGTGGAGGCGGCTCGCTTTCGGATTGGTTGTGTTCGTGCAATCTTTTGGTCAAGAGATGGAGGCGACTCATGGGCATATCCAAGTGAAGAAGGAAGAATATGAAGTGATGGAAACTCATCCCCCTCCGGACTTGCCGCCATGGAGGAACTGTACGACTAGAGTTTGGAAGACTGTTTTACCATTTCTAGTCTTTTACTTTCAGTCTAGTCTATTTTATCATTTCTATTTTGTTTCTACTATGACAAACAATAAGCGGGGTAGGCGGGTGTTCTGTTTTGCTTTAGTTGATAGATTACTAGTTGGAGGCAATCAGGTTGATACAGCCGCTAATAGCCTATATGCTCTCACAGCTTCAGCGATTAGTCTCGCTGTTTTTAGGGTGGACTATTCTATGTCTGGTCATGATGTGAGGAGGCCGATGGGGTTTGGTTTTGATTGGATAGAGGGGGATTTAGTTCTTGGGGTTTGTTATTGGTTTGGTTCATTTGATTTAATATAAGTTATTTTCCTTTCAAAAAAACTACTTGCTCATTATCCACATAAATAAAGGTGGCAAATAATACTACTTTTATTTTATTTCATTTTAAAAAAATAATGTGAATACAACTATTTCATACAACTCTCTAACAATCTCTGACTTCTCATAAATTAATTAGTAACACTATTATTTATAAAAAAATACTGTGATTTAACATTGGGCATGAGTTATCGTGCCTTGCACGATCAATCGCTAGTATTATAAATAATTTTCAATAAATATATATAACTGGTCAAATGTTTGAATTTGGCTAAGTATTTTGGGACGGAGGTACTAGAAACTCTTAGTCATATTTGTGTATGTTGGTCCAAAATAGGACGCTCGTAGGCTTTTAGGAAAGCTACGTACGACACTCAAGCAAGAATTAGGAAAGTACGAATATGGAAAGTTAGCCAGAAATAGTATATAGAAGTTGCTTCTTAATATGAATTACAAGTCGCCTTTTATAGGCGTATACAAATCGTAACCGCTACCGATAATAATGACTAATTAAATACAACATTAATACGAAATTAAATACATAATTAATAGCGCATTAATTACTTGACCGTTACTTTTCCTGGCTGGCAGGTCGGCTGAACTGGCGGGTTCCCCGTTGGGATGGTAGACAGGCTACAGGTTGTGGACCTGGATCCACGGGTCCAAGTTCGGGGCTTGGGCTGATTGGGCTCTGGGCCTAGTCCCATAACTCCATCACGAGTCCCCACTCCCTTAGTCGAGTAGTAGACTCGACTAAGAGGGAGTAGTCCAAGTCAGCTGCTCTTCTCCGAGACTAGAAGATCTCGCCCTTGTCCATGTTGGGGAGATGCCTCATTAAAAACCTTCATTAGGAAAAAACCCAATGGGAAAAAATCCTAATGAAGGGAAAAAGAGTACATCTGACGCCCCCAAGATGAAGCAAGAGGTGAGATCCTCAGCCTTTATTGCAATGGTCGCCATCTGCAAATAGGATGTCCATAACTGTTCCTCTCGTCGGGCCCTGACTCGTCAAGTTCGTCATTTGCTTCCTTGAAGACGGTAAGACCCTCGGTCCCCCACTTCATTTAGTTGTACCTACACATAAAAGAAACTAGTGTAGAATAGAGCATCCGGCCTGGTGTCGAACCGCGGCTCAATGTGTAAGTGAGTCGGACTCACTACTTGAAAAGAGATCAAGTTCTCAAGTTAGGCCACACCCCAGTCTCTGAAAGAAAGATTGAATCCGCGAGTAAGTGAGGCGGACTCCTCACTCGAACGGATAATCTAACCCCAACGAACTAAAGTATATCAACCTTTTCGAGAAATGTGAATGTCAATTAAGTGACAAAGTTGCTCGAAAGAGTGTGGCTCTAGGCCCCTAACAAGAGTTTAACTCGCCGCCCGAGGTTAGTAGTTCGAACCCGCAAGTAAAAACTTTTGAACGGGCGACTCGTCCCTCGAGGTCGGAGTGTGATGCACTATGAGGGGGTAAGAGCACGCGAGAACTCATATGAAGTCAAGAGTGTGTGGTATTAACATTTATATTGGAGCTTATTAATCGTCACACCCATATGACGTGACCCGGTGGCGCGAGTGTGTGTGCTAGACCAGTGTACGAGTGTGTGTGCTCGTCCAGCGTACTTGAGTGATTAGATTTCATAAGTCCGTTGTTCAATGTTAAAATTACACACTTAACAAGAGTAAAAGCAACCATATCACTTAAAATTCTTTTCAAATATTTTTAATGTATGATTTCTTTTAATCAAATAGTTTGACATATTAATTGTAGGGAAATTGTTTTGGAGTACTTAGCTTTCAATTAAGCCGAAACGTGGATGATGTGTTGTTGAAACAATTCTGGGCCAACTAAACAAGGGGCCCATCCTTTTTCAGAGATGGGAGAAGGAGACGCCCTCCGTTGCCACTGCCAGTGAGCAAATTGTGAAGCCCTTGGCTATGGCCGCCACAGAGGTGGACTTCGGCCGGTGTTGCTAGAGGAGAGGTGAAGCTCTGACCTCTAACAGAGATCAGCGGCCTTAACCACGTCAAACGGTAGATCTCATCAGCGGCCGTCACGATGGCGGAGCGACCAGAAGCGATGCGGGCGTCGCTGTGACGGGGTACATGTCTAGCCTCGAATCATGCCTTTCGCGGACTCCAATTCTCCATTAATGGCGGAAAACAATGAAATTTCAGGTCGCGTTGGTGGTGAGGCGAGGGGCGAGCGGTGACTGCCCACGAGATGAGCACTAGTCGGAGAGAAAGAAGAGTGAGCGGCTAAGTGGACTGTGACCGCCGATCGAGGGAAACTCGCTATTCCAGCTGCCCCATCGGACCACCGGTCCAAGTTGAGAGAGGAATGCCAGCTTGTTTGTTTCGTGAGCAGGGGTCCACCGATTCTCCATGTCGTAGAACTGTTGGCTGAGGAGACTGCTGTGTGAGGGAGCAGCACTGCCTCGTCGCGACTGCCGAAGAGTTCTCCACGTCGGCAAATTGCGGCGGGGCAAGGCGCCTGATGCGGTGTAGATCTCATCCTCAAAGCTGGCCGGTGTAACCTGGGTCTGATCACCCGGTCAGTAAAGCTCCGGCCATTTCCGTAAACATTCCAGGATGTTGAAATTCTTTTTAGGCAAATTTTTGGCTAGATTTTTTGGAGTTGTGATGAATCTTTTGGATAATTCCTATCGAGTGATGTGAGAGACAACAGAGGCTCTCAATGAAAGCACCAATGTTGGTCAAAAATAGGACGCTCGTAGGCTTTTAGGAAAGCTACGTACGACACTCAAGCAAGAATTAGGAAAGTACGAATATGGAAAGTTAGCCAGAAATAGCATATAGAAGTTGCTTCTTAATATGAATTACAAGTCGCCTTTTATAGGCGTATACAAATCGTAACCGCTACCGATAATAATGACTAATTAAATACAACATTAATACGAAATTAAATACATAATTAATAGCGCATTAATTACTTGACCGTTACTTTTCCTGGCTGGCAGGTCGGCTGAACTGGCGGGTTCCCCGTTGGGATGGTAGACAGGCTACAGGTTGTGGACCTGGATCCACGGGTCCAAGTTCGGGGCTTGGGCTGATTGGGCTCTGGGCCTAGTCCCATAACTCCATCAGTGTAAGTAAGTTTTAATTTAGTAAAATTTTAGAAAGAATTCTATTTCAAACCCATAAATAATCAGTGCTATTATTATTATCAAAATTTTATTATTATGAAATATTAAAATAATATTTTTTTTATCGTAAAACATCTTTCATTAAAATAGAGAAAACATGCAAGACAAAATTCAGACGGTTATTACATATCCGATCGCAAGCCCTATGAATAGACTTAGAGTCATCCACGCATACAAAACAACTGACTCGCTAGACACAAAACAGGCAAGAATAAGTCTAAAACGATCAAAAACGAACCACTGCCTATCAAAAGTTCATCAAAAACCAAAATACACCAACCATACCTACTCGAACTGAAATAAAAATAAGTACTACTAAAGAAAAAATAATAAGAAAATAGAATTTTTCCCCAAATTGCTTCTTCGCCCGGAGCCCCGGAGGTGGTTCCGGAGGCAGACAACCTGCTATAGTATGGGAGAATAGAATTTCGACCCTTGAAAAATTCATCTAAAACTCTATCCTTCTTGCGCTTGCCAATTTGCTTCTTGAGGTTTGCCATTGAAATCCATGTCCGGGATGCAGAAGGAATCTCTACCATGTTGCCTTTGTAACCGCCTTGTGATCTATCTGCAATAGAATCGTCGACCGGGCTCCATACCGAGGTGATGCATTGGGCATCTGAACAGTAGCAGGCTGGGATAATATATCCCAACAGTACTGAAGCAACCCAATTATGGAAGTGTACCTTGCCATCATTTCAAGCTTATGCTCGAATTTACAACCCAAGTCTAAAACTGCTATAGATGGTGACATTGGTGAGTACGGACTATTATGTAATTTTAGTAATGTTTCTTTTCACTTTCCCTTGAACCAGTTGAGAGCTAAGAAGCAGTAGTATTGTTTTAATTTACTATGGATATAAGGTTTCGTTTTAGTGCAACCTTGAAGTTAGTGTTTAATGTTAGGCATTGTGGCATGTGGAGCCACTTTTTTGCTACAAGCAATGTGTAGCCAATTCTAAATATAATCCAAAATGTGGTTTCTCCATTGTTGGAAATAGCATTTAAAGCATATGCCTTTTGATATTCCAGACTTTCCAGCAGTTTATCATTTTATTTTCCTTAATGACTTTCAGTTTTCTTTTGTCCTTTAATGTATCATTTACTTCCCTATATATATGGGAGTCATGATGTATGATCTGAAATGAGTAATACAAAAAGCTTCTCTTCCTAAATCAACATGGTATCAGAGCCACATGTTGATCCATGGTGTGGGCCCCCTTATCAAAAAATGATTAACACGGTTAGTAAAAAAATGACAATGATGGGCCAATGCAAAAATTGAATGACGGCACGATCCAGACAAAGTGTCTCGTCATGAGGAGGGGTGTTGAAGTCCCACACCGGATAATTGTGAACTAATGATGTGATATATTAAGATTCGGGCTACTCCTCCTATCAGGTTGACCTTTTAGGATGGAACCCCGAATCTTAACATGGTATCAGAGCCTTGGGTATGGTCTGAAATTCCTTCTGCACGTGGAGGAGACTTTGAGCATATTTTCTGGTGAATCAATCTTCAAGGTGTTCGTCCCTCCAACGAATTCCGGCGGTGAATTATTTCAGTAATTTTAATTTTTTCATCATGGTCGTAACAAGCAGTAGTGAAGAAACTCATGTTCCCGTTTACGTCCCAAATCTTTCTGGAAACCCTACTATTACCAATAATAAATTATTGGATCACAAAATTATCAAGATTGGGCATGTGCTGTGGAACTGTGGTTCATGGGACAAAGAGTGGATGACCATTTGGTCACAGAAGCTGATTCAATTGAGTATCAAAGAGAAGTCTGGAAACGCGTTGATGCCCAACTTTGCAGCATCTTATGGCAGTCTCTCTCACCATAAATCGTTCCAATGTTCCGCCCTTTCAGGATGTGTATTTCTGTCTGGAAGCAAGCCAAGTGTCACGGACTTGTTCCCTCA